ATAAGCAAAATGTGGCATACCCATACAATGGAATATTATACAGTCTTAAAAAAGGAAGAAAAATCTATAATATTCTACAATATGAATGAACCTTGAGGATGTTATACTAAATAAAATAAACTAGTCACAAAAAGAAAAATACTGTATAATTTCCACTTGCATGAGGTAGAAAAATCAGAAATCATAAAAACATTAAGTAGCATGGTAGCTGCCAGGACTGGGAGGGAATGTTTAATGAATATACTTTCAGTTTTATAAGACCGAAGTTATTGAGATCGATGGTGATAATAGTTGTGTAATATTATGATAATAGTTGTGTATTATTATTTTCCCAGTATTCAATTCCACTATAATGTACATTTTAAAATAATTAAAATGGTAAATTTTGTTATGTATACTTACCACAATTTTTTTAAATTGAAAAAAAAAAAATCCTAAGTTCCTTAGTAAACCTGCATCAATTCTTGTGAAAGAACAGAATCCTCTTCTTATTTTCCTAAGGAAGCTCCCCATTCTTCCCTAAACAAATAAGCAGCTACACTCCAGAAATCTTGACTCTAACAGTATTGGAAATTTTCTCTTTAATCAGAAACACCAAAACTCAGTTGGATGGAAACATAAAAATGCAAAAAGAGAGGTTAAAAATTTGAGTGGGAAATGCCTATATGCATTGCACTGGAGGTTCTGACCAGGGCAATGGGGGGGGGGGAGAAGAATAATTAAAAAGGAAAACATACTACTCATTTTATCTGAAGAAAAATGATGATGCATGTAGAAAATCCTAAGAGAATCTATATTATAACAGAGTCACAAGATACATGGTCAAAATACAAAAATAAATAAATAAATAAATAAAATCACATTCTATATACAAGCAACAAACAATTGAAAGATGGAATTTTAAAAATACCAGTTACAATATCACTAAAAGCATTTACCTAAAATAAATTTGTGACTTGGGCACAATGTGCACACCTATAATCCCAGTAACCTGGGAGGCTGAGGCAGGATGTTCTCAAATTTGAGGCCACACTCAGCAACTTAGTGAAATCCTATCTCAAATAAAAAAGAAAAAGGTCTAGGGATGTAACTCAGTAATAGAACATATTGGGTTCATTCCCCAATAATGCAATAAACAAACAAAGATTTACTAGGACTTGTTCAAATTCTCCACACATTATACAATGAAAAAAAGTAAAAGGAACTTAAATATACACACACAATATTGAAAGATTCACAACATCAAATCTCTCCAAATTAATCTATAGGTTCAATATACTTCCAATCAAAATCTAAGAAGGCTTCTTCTTCTTCTTTTTTTTTTTTAAAGAGAGAGTGAGAGAGGGGAGAGAGAGAGAGAATTTTTTTAATATTTATTTTTTAGTTCTCGATGGACACAACATCTTTGTTGGTATGTGGTGCTGAGGATCGAACCCGGTTCGCACGCATGCCAGGCGAGCGCGCTACCGCTTGAGCCACATCCCCAGCCCTTCTTCTTCTTTTTTTAATTCCTAATTTTTTTTTAGCTGTAGATATACACAACACCATTATTTTATTTATTTTTATGTGGTGCTGAGGATCAAACCCAGTCCCCCCACACATGCCAGGCAAGTATTCCACCACTGGGCCATAACCCATGCCCCAAGAATGATTCTTTACAGAAAATGATTCTAAAATTTACATGGAAATCCAAAGGAATTAAGCCAAAATAATATTTTTTTAAAAAGTTCATAGATTTATACTACCTGATTTTATGACATACTGTAAAGTTAAAATAATCAAGACAGTGGTACTGAAGAGAAGATAGACAAATAATCAATGGAACAAAACAGAGGAGAGAAACAGACTGCACATAAATGGTTAACTGATTTTCAACTAAGACACCAATGTAATTCAATGAAGAAAAGCAAAGTCTTTTAAACAAATGGTGTTGATGCAACTGAATATCCTTGTGGAATATTATCCCTACCTCAGGATCACTTAAAAATTAAACCAAGACAGGTCATATATCTAAATGTAAAAGCCAAATTTACAACATTTTTAGAAGTAAAGTAAAAGAATACCTCCACAAACTTCAGATAGACAAGGATTTCTTGGGACACAAAGAGCAATAATTTTCGTGTATTGTGGCACGTGCCACAATAATCCTAGTGACTCGGGAGGCTGAGGCAGAAGTATTGCAAGGTTGAGACTAGCCTCAGCAACTTACTGAGATCCTGTCAAAGTAAAAATAGAAGGGGCTCAGTGGGTGTGGCTCAGTGGTAGAGCATCCTAAGGTTCAATCCCCAGTACAAAAAGATAATAGTCACTAAAGAAAAATAATCACTAAAGAAAAAAATCAGAAATAACTGGGTACGGTGCCACATGCCTATAATTTAGCAGCTTGGGAGGCTGAGGCAGGAGGATTACAAATTCAAAGCAAGCCTCAGCAACTTAGGCCCTAAGTAACTTAGTGAGTGAGACTCTTTCTCAAAATAAAACATAAAAAGGGCTGGGGATGTGGCTTGGTGGTAAAATGCCCCTGAGTTCAATCCCTAGTACCAAAAAAAAGAGGAGGAAAATCAGTAATTTGGATTTCATCAACATTTAAAACTTTTGATCATCTAAAGAAACCAGTAATAAAGAGATAAGACAAGCCATAAGGGGCTGGGGATGTGGCTCAAGCGGTAGTGCGCTATCTGGCATGCCTGCAGCCCAGTTCTATCCTCAGCACCACATACCAACAAAGATGTTGTGTCCGTCGAAAACTAAAAAATAAATATTAAAAAAAAATTCTCTCTCTCTCTCTCCCTTCCTCTCTCTCTTTAATTAAAAAAAAAAAAAGAAAAGCCATAAAATAAGAGAAAATACAACACATCTGACAGAAGACTTTCAACTAGAATATATAAAGAATTCCCCTAGGGCTGGGGATGTGGCTCAAGTGGTAGCGCGCTCGCCAGGACAGGTTGGATCCTCAGCACCACATGCAAACAAAGATGTTGTGTCTGCTGAAAACTAAAAAATAAATATTAAAAAAATTCTCTCTCTTTCTCTTTCTCTCTCAAAAAAAAAAAAAAAGAGAATTCCCCTATAATCAATAATAAAATGGCAAATGGCCCAATTTAAAAATAGGCAAATGCTTTGAACAGACACTTCATATATACAAATGGTCAACAAGCACATGAAAAAGTGGTCAGTATCATTACTATCAGGGAATGCAAATTAAAACCACAATAAGAAGTCACTACATACATATCCACTAGGAATAGTTAAAATTAAAAAGACTGACAGCACTAAGTTTTGAAAATGTGAAGCAAATGAAACTTTTATGTAGTGTTAGCAGATGTGTAAAATAATAAAACCACTTTGGAAAACTGTTAGCTTTTAACAAAGTAAACCCTACAACCTAGAATATTTTCACAGAAAGACATGCAGAACAATGTTCATGATAGCTGTATTCATAATAGTCAAAATTAGAAACAAACCCAAATGACTGTCAATAGAAGAGATTAAAAAAAACAAAAACAAAAACAGTGGAACACTACTCAGCAGCAGAAAGGAATTAATTAGTTATACCTTCAATAAAATGTGAATGAATCTGAAAAATACTTAAACAAAAGTCAGAACAAAATTATATAATTCTACTTACATGAAGTTCATTAACAAACAAAACTAACATACAGTGATAGAGACAAAATAGCAGCTGGACTCTCCAAATGGGAGAATGACTACTAAAAAGCACATGAACCTTAGGGGTAATGAAACTGTTCTAGATTTGGGTGATGGTAAACTGGGTGCATATACTTGTCAAAACTTATCGAACTGTATACTTAGTATTTGTGCATTTTGCTCTGGTTAAGCTATTCTCCAATAAAAGGGTGGGTGCTTATACATATCTGCATTAATTTTTTGTTCTTTAGTATAAAAGTAGGTTAAAAAATTAACACATCTGTTTGTAGTCATCAGCAATTGCAGGAGAAAGTCTTGCTTTTGTTCTCCCAATTCAAAATACATAACAATATCACAAAAGCTGAAATTTTTCTGAAGGACATCAATTTTAGAACAATTCCATAATTCTCAGTACTCTTGTTAGTTTCTTAATCAGAAGAGACTATCACATGAGAGATCTATAGAATTTTAAAAAATTTCCTCCTGCTTCTTTCTGGTCAATTTCCTACCTACAGAGTCAACTGCTGCTTTGATTTTTATTGCCATATATTAATTTTGCATTTCATGAACTGAATATAAATAGAAACTTTTGAAGTACATTTGAAATATATGTCCTTTTTTGCAGTGCTAAGGTTGAATCCAGGGCCTTTTGCATACTAGGCAAGTGTTCTACCATCAAGCCACAACCCTCAGCCTTCTCCTCAATGCTGCCCTGAAGTACTACGGATTAAATGATAGCAAATGTTTTACTCTCACATGGTAGATAAATGCTTTACCACTGAACTACACTTCCAGTCCCTTTTATTTTTTTTTTTAGTACCAGAATTGAACCCAGGGACACTTAACCACTGAACCACATCCCTAACCCTTTTAATATTCTATGTAGAGACAGGGTTTCACCGAGTTGCTTAGGGCTTTGCTAAGTTGCTGAGGCTGGCTTTGAACTTGTGATTCTCCTGCCTCAGCCTCCCCATGGGATTATGGGCATGAGCCACTGCGTCTGGCATCTCCAGTCCTTTTAAAATTTTATTTTGAGACACGGTCTCAGTAAATTGCCCAGGCTAACCTTAAACTTGTAATCCCCCTGCCTTAGTCTCCTGAATAGCCAAGAATTAAAGGTGTGTGTCTCCATGCCCACGTCTATTTTTTTTAATAAAGATGTATTACTATTTGAAAAGCACAGACTGTGACAATTAAATGTCTAAATCAAAACAAAGAACAGTTGAAGAATATATAGGCAACAAAGTATGTGATGTAAGACCATATTTTTTTAAAAAAAATTATAAACTTAATAACTGGAAAAATCAGATATTATTTATTTTTCAATAAACAGTAAAAGAAATAATTTTCACCTTAAGTTTTGGATATATATAGCGCAGAGAATCTGCAGTTCCCATGTCAGCTTCATCAGGAATGCACACAATATCTGGCTTCATTTTCATCTTGAATTCTGCACATAAAACCTTTTGGACATCCCTGGTTGTAACCACAATGACTTCTATAGCATGAAAGAAAAAAGAAGGAAAAATGCAAAAACTCATTCATCTAGATATCAGTTTCACTACTTCAACTGGCTATGGTCTGTTTCTAGGTGTAATAATAACTAATATTACTGAACCTTTTCAGTGTGTCTTACATGAATTCTTTCAATTAATTCTTACAACAATCTCACTTTTATAATGAAGAAATCTGCCAGAAGTTTTTAGCACACACTTGTAATCCCACCTACTTGGGAGGCTGAGATGAGGGATCACAAGTTTGAAGCTAGGCTGGGCAATTTAGACTGTCTCAACACAAAATTTAAGAAAAAGGGGAGGGGATTGCTGGAAATGTAGCTCTGTATCAGAGTGTATGTTTAGAATACATAAGGTCCTGGTGTCAATCCTCAGTAACACACACACACACACACACACACACACACACACAGACACACACAAAAGAGGAACCATGGACTGAAAGACTTTAAGTGACTTTACTCAGGATGCAATGGAATGAAGATCAAATTCAGGTCTAGGGGGCTGGGGATATAGCTCAGTTGGTAGAGTGCCTGCCTTCCACGAACAAGGCCCTGGGTTCAATCCCCAGCACCACAAAAAACAACAGCAACAACAAAAAACCCCTCAGGTCTGACCAGGCTTGGTACACATGCCTCTAATCCCAGCAGCTGGGGAGGCTGAGGCAGGAAGATCGCAAGTTCAAAGCCAGTCTCAGCAAATTAGTGAGGCCCTACGTAGCTTAGTGAGACCTGTTCCTAAATAAAATACAAAAATAGGCTGGAAATGTGGCTCAGCAGTTAAGCGCCCCTGGAGTCACTCCCCAGTAACCCCCCGACAAAAAAAAAAAAAAAACCTTAGGTCTGTATGATTCATACCTACATTAATATACTGTACACCACCTTTTGTGGATGTAAAGAATTCACAAGACCATTCAACAAAACATATAAATGTAATCTTAAATCTTCATTCAGTACAAATAGTTACCCCAACTTCCTACCAGGTAGCCATTACTGCTGCACTGAGGATTAAATGAATCTAATAAGAATCATTTTCACACAACAGATATATTCACCTTATCCATTTATCTATCAAACAATGACAGAAAATCGGGGTTTTTTTTCATGGATCTTTGTTGAGATAATGTTACTGATATCTGGCAGTCTGATTTTGGCATCTCTTCAATAATTTCCACATGTTCCATGATAGTGCTCCAGATCACAATCATCCCTCCCTTTCACTGGAATCAGTGTTTTCTATTTTTTCTTCCTCTTTTTTCTTTAAAATCATTTAACCTTCCTTCCTTCTTTCTTCCTTCTTTCTTCCTCTCCTCAATTTAGTCACTCACTCTTTTATCCAACAAATACTAATATATTTAACATATAAAGGACAAATAAGCACTGAGAATTCAGAAAAGAACTTAACATGGTTTCTATCCTCAAGAAACACGGAGGGCTGGGGTATAGCTCAGTGGTAAAGTGCTTGCCTAGCATGAGTGTGGCCCTGGGTTCAATTTTCAGCACCACATAAAAATAAAATAAATAAAATAAAGGTTAAGGACTGGAGTTGTGGCTCAGAGAAAAAAGCGCTCACATACCAGGCGTGAGGCACTGAGTTCGATTCCCAGCATCATATAAAATTAAATAAATCTATCATCTCTACCTACAACTATGAAATAAATATTTAACAAATTAATAAATAAAGGTTAAATTCTTTTAAAGAATTTTTTTTTTTTTTTTTAACATGGACCTGGTCACAGTGGTACACCCTGTAACCCAGCTACTAGAAAAGTTGAGGCAGGAGGATTACATGTTCAAGGCCACCCTTGCCAACTTAGAGAGACCATTTTAGAATAGAAAAATAAGCCAGGCACAGTGGCGCATGCCTGTAATCGCAGCAGCACAGGAGGCTGAGGCAGGAGGATGCCAAGTTCAAAGCCAGCTTCAGCAAAAGCAAGACACTAAGCAACTCAGTGAGACCCTGTCACTAAATAAAACACAAAATAGGGCTGGGCATGTGGCTCAGTGGGTTGAGTGTTCCTCACTTCAGTCCCTGGTACCCCCCCCAAAATAAAAATAAATAAATAGAAAAAAAGGGCTGGAGATGTAGCTCAGTTCTACAATGTCCCTAAGAATCCCCAGTACCACAAAAAAAAATAAACTGAATATGGGGAAATTAAACATGGAAATGATTACCTAAAGAAGACTCACTAGAAGAGATGGCCTTTGAGATAAGCCACGTATTCAACAAAAATTTCTTTAGTACAGCAGGGTGTGGTGTACACCTATAATCCCAGTGGGTCAGGAGGCTGAGGCAGGAGGTTGGCAAGTTCAAAGCCAGTCTCAGCAACTTAGTGAAGCCCTAAGTAACTAAACAAGACCCTATCTCAAAATAAAAGATAAAAAGGACCAGGAATGTAGCTCAGTGGTAAAGTATCCCTGGGTTTACTCCCCAACAACAAAGTACATAAATAAATTAATAGTTTTTTTTAGTACATACTATATTATATGCAAAATGCTGAGAATACAAAGATGAATTAGAAACAGTATCTGTTCTTAGGAGAGATTACCAAGCCTCCCATACCATCAATTATAGTATAAAACAGTCCTTGAGAGGTGCCAAGAAACACAAAGAAAGATTAATGCTGTTAGGGATATTGAAGAGAAGGTAGCATTTCCAAAGGTTGGAAAGGAGATTTGAAGTACAGTAGATAAAGTGATGGATACTCCATTCATGCAAATATGGGACAGTCTACTAAATATATGGTCAAGATTCTTCTGTTTGGAGGGAGAAAAAAGCTAAGTAGGGCTACATTAACTTCCCTCTATAAAATAATTAAGAATAAGAAAAGAATGATGCCAGAAATAGTGTCATGAGTCTGTAATCTTAGGAAAATAAGGCAGGAGGATCATGAGCTCAAGGCCAGAGGAGACAACATAACAAGATCCCAACTTAAAAAATTGGGGGGCAGTGGCTGGAGATGATGTACCTCAGTGGTACAGTGCTTGCCTAGCATGTGAAAGGCCCTGGTTTCAAACCCTACCACTGTGATATAAAGACAGAAAGACAGGCTTAGCAATTTAAAACTTAAGAATTCTGCGTTCAGGAGGCACCTCCCCCATCAAATTGTAAGTGAGCCTCAATGAGAATTTTCTACATAAATATACCACAATAGGCCACACTGAAGTATGAACTAAAGGTACAGTAAAAGTAAAAAGCAAAAAGATTTACAGATGGCAAATCTATAAAGGGTCTATAGGAAAGTACAATATTTTAAACTGGGCTAAAGTGTGTCACAATCACCACCTGTGAGACCAAGCTCTAAAAAGAAAATTGCTAAAACATATCTCTTAATGCCAATGTCATTTAGACCAGTGCACAAAAATGTCTGTGGGTCTGTGTCAGGAAGGCAACTCTCATAATGCAATGATCACTGGATCATGAGACTGGGCCCAGAATTATGGCACCTAATTTGTTTTACCTAGCTGGTATTCTGATCTGTTCTACCTAACCATAGAACACTAAATTCAATGGGCCAAGGTTGAACATTATCTTTTTTTAAACCCGATGTCTTAGATTCTTTTTCCTACTTAATAGCATTGCATCTATGATACCCAAGCAAAAGTAGAAAGAACTCTTCCCACTGGTCTTTAAAGTTCTAGAGGGCAGGGCCTAAGATGTTTTTTCAATTCTGTACATCCATCCTTAATACATTACATGGCACACAATATATTCTATTGTTAAGGAAAGTACTGATAGTAAAGTACTTAGAGTCCTAATTAGCTCTTTCTGATAACCTTACAAGGTTCAGCTTGGATCACTGAGGAGATCAGCTCTATAACAACAACACTTAGCACTATCTTCTCAATCTTTTTTACATAGCAACAGAATACTTCTTTGTTCCTAATTTAAAAGTGGCCAGATTCCAGCAAACTTTAAGACTGAGTCTTCTCTAATCATCCTCCCTCACCCTCATAATGCTAACAAATCACTGAGACCAAACACTCCAAAGTTTTATAAGTGCAGATCACTGTCATTGCTCACCTTCAAATCCAACTCGCTCAAGCAGGTTCAATGGGTACCAAATTAAAGGTTTGTTCCCAACTGGGAGCAGAGGCTTGGGAATACTGGAAGTCAGGTCTGTCATCCGAGATCCCCCACCTACAGCCATCACTACTGCTTGAAATTCCATTTTTATAAACTGGAAAGAAACCACATGAAAAAAGAATGTAACAAAAATCAAAGTACACAAAATATTAATCCATTTTTCTTTAGGTTTACTGATACCCACTTATGTCAGATGTATCACTTCCAACTTTAATTACCACACAACTGCAAAATACACACATATCATCATCTTTATCATACTCTGTGGTCAATACAGACACTCAGGTCTATCACTGGTAAAAGTGGGGGATATCTGAATGAAAAAATATCTGGCTTGGCCCTTGAGTTATTCACAATTAAGACAGATTCAGTAAATTTTAATACACTACCAGTAGTGCCATGGCAGGGAGATAGCCAAGAAACAGTGTACACAGGATATAGGGAACACCTGTCTTCCTAGAAAACACAGGAAGGTTATGCTCAAGTTGATTCTGGAGAAGTTTATTAAATTGTTTACTAAAATGACATTTTAATTCTTATTTCTTGAAAGCATTTTAAAAACTTGACAAGAATTAAAAACAGAAACACAGGCATGTTAGTTTGAAAGGTATAAAACTGACTGAAGATTCCTCTAATAATTCATCCATATGCTCTAGTATTCTCATTTTCCCTAATTATAACAGATATCACTCTAAACACAAATGTAGGTTTGTAGCTTTATTCTTTTTTTTTTGTGGTACTGTGTACACTCGGGAGCTACATCCTCAATCTTTTTTATTTGTTATTTTTGAGACAGGATCTCAATAAGTTGCTCAGGCTGGCCTCAAACTTGTGATCCTCCTGCCTCTGTCTTCCAAGTAGCTAGGATTACAGATGTGCACTAACGTGCCCAGCAAATATAGGCTTATATGTGAATCTAAGAATCCAATTACAGAAACAATCCAAATTGTTAACTCCTTTTTCAAAGTCAAGGTAATAAAAAAGCAATTTTACCTTGAAAAGAACCTCTTTACAGCAGCTACCACAGAACAGAGGCACAAGGAAAGGCCATAAATCCTGCTGATTTAAATTGAAAATTTTTAAAAAAATATTTTTAGTTGTAGATGGACGCAATACCTTTATTTTATTTATTTATTTTTATATGGTTCTGAAGATTGAACCCAGTGCCTCACATGTGGTAGGCAAGCACTCTACTACTGAGCTACAACCCAAGCTCCAAAAGTTTTCTCTTACAACAAATGATATAATCATGTGCAAAATGCAGTGTTTAGGAAAAAAAAAATCCAAATTGGCAAATAATGGTCCACCTTTACTATAATACTGTCCTGGGCTACATACATTAATACCTAAATCCCAGCACTTAACACTAAGTATATCCAAGACACAAAGTGAAGGCTCACACACAAACTTGGAAGACACGATTATTTCCATTTCAATAAGCATTGCCTCACACTGGAATCTAACCTTCACTCTTGCATTATACAACTTCCATGGCATTTGATGTTATTATGAAAAATGCACTAGACCCTAAGAGTCAAAAGACTGGAGTTTAAATTTTGGTTTTGCCACAATAGGTGGTGTGAAATTTAAAATTATCACCCACACCCTCAGTTCTTAGGAGAGCCTGAGGTTAAGTTAACAGATCCTAGAATTCCTAGATCAAAAAAATCCTCCTATCCCAGCAATTACAGTAGCTGGGTCTGAAGACACACATCACCATGCCCAGGTACATGCTATTTTTGCTTTATAGGGTCCCTTTCTCCTGTGTCCAGTAATCAACTCCAAAGCTTGTACGATTCAGCTCAAGAATCACCTTCCCACAAAGCCATTCCTAACCCTTCCCATGCCTCTGGCAGAAGGGATTCCTTTTCCCTATATGCTTCTACTCTATATGTACAGATTATGTCAGCCTTTACAAGCCTTACTGCACATATGTGTTTAAAAGACTTTAAAATAGAGTGAGTTCCTTGGGCTGGGGTTGTGGCTCAGTGGTAGAGCGCTTGCCTCACATGTGTGAGGCACTGGGTTCAATTCTCAGCACCATATAAAAATAAACAAAGTTATTTTTAAAAATTATAGCACTTAAAAAAAAGAAGGAATTTTGCGTTGTCATCATTGTACTCCAAGTCAGAAGCCAGGTACGCAGTGTGTATGGAATGAGGATCCCCAACCTCACAACAGCCTCATGTAAGAGTTAAGCTCAAACATGTGCAGAGTGGCATTAGAATCCAAGTCACTGGGATCTAGGATTTCTACTCTCAAAATCTCTGGCTGAAGAGTGGCACCGTGGGAAGTAAGAACAGTAATGAGCATAACTACCCATGTTAGCCAAGCAAATGTCTCAATGTCGCTGTCACGACGCTGTGTGCTGGGAATCAAGGCAATGAATCTTCTAGCCTCCCAAGCTTTAGAGGGAGTGTTCGCGGCTTCTCAGACGTGCCTCAGTGCACTCACTGCCTTCTCCGGTTGTAAAGAGGTAAGATAGACCATGGCATCATAACTGAGCTCTGACTGAGGGCAGTATTTCACTGCTCTGCACCCAAACAACTAAAGATAGGCTGAATAAATGAAGGACTCAGGGGGAAAAAGTTCGGGCATGGTGTTCAGGGCGTCTGGTCCCAGGTCTGGTGTTCGCTCAGTGTGAACTCCCCCACCCCGAAATTCAGTTTCTGCATCTGCTGCTCGAAGTAGTTGGCTCGAATGCTCCCCAACCTCCGTTCTAGTTTGGACACTGGGCTCCGTGGCCGTGTGGAGCAGGGACTCGCGCTAGGGACTTCAGGGCTCATTACCCCCGTCTGCCCTTTTGGTTCCATCTCGACCCAGCTCGGCGAGTCCCTGATGAAAGGGGGTTCCCAGCCCCCACCGCGAGGCTCACCCAGCTCAGCCAGCTCGTGCGCGGCCCCTCAGGACAGAAGCTACGGCTTTACCTTAGATCCCAGCACGTCGCAACCGCTCCCAGAGCTCCCCACGCTGCCCCTGACTGACAGCCCAAAAGCGCAGGCGCGCAAGGGTCGAGCAGATCGATGGGACGCTCTGGGCAGACCCACGCAGAAGAGACGAGCGCCGAGCAATAGATTAGGCCGGGGAAAGCGCACGCGGCGGGGGAAGAAAGGGGAGAAAAGAAAAGGGGGAGGGACCAGTGGAGATTGGGCTGCCCTAGAGTCTTCTATCCAGTACTAGAGGTGTAGGACTTCGTCAACGCTGCCCTTGCGTCCATTCAGTAATCACCAGTGTCTACTGAATGCCCCTCCCAGAGCAGGATTCCAAGAACCCAGATGGAACAGGTGACAGCCTCTTTCCTCAACGAGTTTCCATTCTAGGACCTGGCTCGCACTGCTACTCTGAAAAGAGAGTTCATTGGATGCTGCAGTTTTTGGTTAGCCAGTGTGTGGGTGGGAGAGGGGGGCACCTAATTCCCTAAAGGGCAGGGATCCGCAGGACTTCTAAGTGTGAGACGGCTCTTTCGCACTCTCGCCAGATTTAGTCATCAAAATAGCGAGGGAGGGAGTCTGTGAAAGCCTCACTGAGAACGTGCCACTGAACAATAATTTAAAGAGAGTTGAATCAGGTAAGTGCAAAGGCCGGGAAACAGAGTGCTTGTTCAAAAAACAGCAAGGAGTCCAATGAGGGGGGAGAGAGCATGGCTATAGAAGAGGTGAGAAAGGTAGTGGGAAGAAGGTGGAGAATCCAGATCCTTTGGGGATTGTGGGTTATTTTGAGGGTATTGAATTTTGCTGTGAGTTAGGAAGCTAACAGATTGTTGAGCAGAGAAATATGACAGGGTTTTAAAAGATAACTCTGGTGGTTGTATTGACAGTAAATTCCCTGGAAGCAAGTAAGGAGACCACTTAAGGGGCTGCAATTGACTGAGAGACATCAAAGGCCTAAGTCTAGAAACTTCCACAATTGTAAGAAATAATAATAAGATAATTGTTGAGGTGGTTTGTTAAGCTACAGTAGATAACCTGAACAATGGCTGGTCTCTCCACAATTCCTGCAATTTGTCCTAATCTTTGGAAGTCTTCTTCTTCTTTTTTTTTTTTTTCTTCTTATATGTCTCTGAAACCCTAAATTGCTTTAGTTTCCTGCCAGTTAGGAGGAATAGTCTGATTTCTGTAATAAAAATAAAGGCGACTGGGCTGGGGTCGTAGCTCAGTGGTAGAGCACTTGCCTAGCATGTGTGTGGCACTGGGTTCAATTCTCAGCACCACATATAAATAAAGTAAATAAAATAAAAATCCATCAACAACTAAAAAACTAGCTTTAAAAAAATAAAGGTGGGGTTGGGGTTGTGGCTCAGCGGTATAGTGCTTGCCTCCAACGTGCAAGACCCTGGGTTCAATCCTCAGCACTACATAAAAAATAAATAAATGAATGAAGATATTGTCTCCATCTACAACTAAAAAAAAAATTAGAAGAAAAGGAAACAGCTAGATGCTCTCTTCAACTGTGATATATTGTTTTGGTTGAAGAGTGAAAATCTGACCTCACACAGATACAGAGGTGGAAAAAAAAAGTTTTAATATTTAATAGCCTTTTTGTGTATGTATGCTACGCTACACCAAAACTTCATAAGTGGTAGTTTGTTAAATTTAGTTGCAAATAAAATCTGAAATTACACATAAATTAACAATCTGTATTCTGGTTACATTAAAATACCTGCACTTTGAATGGACATTTTACAAATGCACGGTTTACAACTTGGCATATTGATCATTTGTAAAATATTGGTTCCCTGAGTTACACAGATCTTACCAAAGATGACTCATTTACATGATATAAAAGAATCACATTTGGGCTGGGGTCATGGCTCAGTGGTGGAGTGCTTGCCTAGCATGTGTGGGGCACTGAGTTTGATTCTCAGCACCACACATAAAATCAACAATTGATTTTTAAATTTTTTTTTTTTAAAAAGAATCACATTTGTTAATATCACCATCAAGCTCACCAGAAAAGTTCTTAAACATTGAAAGCTGGAAAGCTTCTGATTCGAGAATCAATTTTCTAAAATTCTAATTTTCTCTTGAAAGTTCAGATATTAGCATTGGCAACAAACACTGTTAGTGGTTTTCCTTGAAATGACTAGCTCACTTTATTTTGATAAATTGTCAGCCATAGTGACAAATATGTCATTAATGTTGTATGAAAAAAGCAGCCATTAAAATCGCAACTCAGTCACACAAGAGCTTCTCCTGAAACTATCATATTTCTTTTGTATGCACAGAAGTATTAAATGCATGCTTCCCATTTCACCACAAAAATATTAAAAAGATATATATTCAAGGGCCAAGATTTAATAGAAATTATTTTATTTCTTCGAGAAAGACTCTCTTAAGTAAAACTGACTTTGCTTTATTGTTTTTTATTTTTATTACAAGTATGTGGCAGTGAATAATGCAATGATGTTGAGTCAGTTTGGGTGTCTCTCTTTGATTCATGGTAAATATAAAGAATCAGCAATTTTACCCACCACTGCTTTTGCACTGCCAATAAGATGTCAAAGGGACAAAAATGTTCCAGCATTATGATGAAAATATTTTTGACCCAGCACGTCCCCTGAAAGGACTTGGAGATCCCCAAGGGTTTGTGGAGGACACTTTAAGAACTGCTGTATTAGAGTTCTTTCTTCCTGGCTCCCACTGCTTCTAGTACTAACATTATGGCACTTACCATAAATAATTATTATCACCTTTTTCATGTTCGCTCTATCACACTGGAAATCTTTTGAGGATAAGGGCAGTATCTTTTTTGATCTACAGACCTAGCTCAGGAACTGGGATGTGCTAAGTCAATAATCTTGAATTAACTGAAATTTTCTCCTAAATTTTCCTTTAACCTCTCTTTTGATGGTGGGAAAACTGGGCTGAAAGCCCACACTGTCATCTCTTTTGAAGTCCTTCTAAATCAATTCCTATTATTATTCCTCATGACTAGCCTCATGCTCATTATTTATTATTCTTTAAGTTCACAGGAAGTACTTAATAAATGCTTATTACATACAGGCTGCTTCCTATAATATTTGTTTTCTGTTCACAGTGATTATTTCTCATTTTTTCCCCCAAGGGGTGGGAATTAGGTTAAGAAGGGTAAACTTGCTGGGCATAAAGGTTCACACTTGTAGTCCAACTAGTTGGGATGATGAGGCTGGCAAATTTGAGGTCAGCCTGGTTAACCCTCAGTAAGACTCAAAATTAAAAATAAAAAGGGCTGGGGATATAGCTCAGTCTTGTGCACCACTGGGTTCAATCCCTGGTACCCCTCCCACCAAAAAGAAGAGCAAACTCTCTGAACTGTGGGAGACAAAAGAAACCTTTCAAAAGTTGGGCCTTGGCTCACAACTATTCTTCCCACAGTCTGCTAAAGATCTCTTTGGGAATTTCTGGCCACATCATAATATTCATCTATTCCATTTGGCTGTGGACTTGTCAGTGGAGCTGGGAATTATTGTTTTTATAGTGCTGAGTGAAAGATAAAAATACAAAAAGAAAGAAATTACTTTGGCAGTCAATTGCAGGTCCTAAAATACTTGCATTTTATTTTTGTATATAAGTCCCACCAATGCCTAAACCAGTAATAATAAGTTAGAGAGCAAATGATGCTACATTGTTTGGTATAAAAAAGTTTGGAAATAATCTTCCTTCATTAGAACTTTAATATTTCTTTTAAGAATACAAAAGGATCATTGGTGGTTTTAAAGTTCAAGAATCTGACTATTCATGTTCTAATATCAATTTTTTAAATAAGTGATTTAATCAATTCAGTGATTTCCCCCCCACACACCTTTATTTAAAACAATAACTTGACATAATTAAACATTTGATGAAAAACAGAGTGTAAAAAAAATAACTTTTCAGATGGCTCATTTCCCTTGCTTTTAAAGTATAGTTTTGGAACCATGGTAGCTTTATTCATTAACAACTGTTTGTTCCTTGCCTAACTATCAGTGCCTGTTTGGAATTACTCCCTGCCTCCAGTCTCTTTTCCAAGGACAGTGCAGGCTCCTGGGATACATTTTTGAAGAAAAGAAAGATCCAGCCCTTATGGAGCTTATGTTCTTGCAGAGATAGGCAGGATAAATGTACTTTTTTTTTGCCTTTGAACCAAGGGCCTTGCACTTGGTACTGTACCACTGAGCTACATTCTAAGTCCTGGGCAGGATAAGTAATAAAGAAGATTAAGAAATAAATGAATAAACTGACAATATATTAAAAGGTGATAAATACTGTTTGTTGCCAAAGATCTGATTCTGGGGGTTCCCAATAAATCAGGTCTAGCCATTTACCCCCAAAACCAAGTGGAAAAATTGGGAAAAGCAGGAAAGGAACTTAAATTAATATGGCTGTATTGGGAAGGCAAAGTGAGATCAAGCTTATCAGCCCTCTCTTCAGGATGCTAACATGAGATTTAGGGTCTTTTTTTTTTTAATGAGTAGTTTTATTAAATCTTGCCCCCTTTGCTCCTTGAGTACAAAACTCTTTAACATTGTGTGTGATCACATGAGAAGTACGCATGAACATTTTTGGTGGGTGGATACTGAGGATCAATCCAGGGGCCATTAGCCACTGAGCCATATCCACAGCATTTTTAATTTTTTATGTTGAAACAGGGTCTCCCTAAGTTGCTTAGTGCCTCGATAAGTTGCTGAGGCTGGTCTTGAACTTGTGATCTTCCTGCCTCAGCCTCCCAAGTCACTGGGAGCATGAACACTTAGTTGCATGCCAATGTAAGATGGCTGTCTCAAGGGAAAGTATATGTTGTGATTTCTTGAGTTCCAAGTTGAACTAGCTCTTTTCTTCATGGAACACCCATTTGGGGGGTCATTAGGCTCAGGTTTTCAGTCTTTGAATCGTCATCTTCTGGCTGCTCTTCTTGTCCTTCTCTTCTTCATAACCATCTTCATCGCCCCCTAGGGGAGGAAAGTGGTCCCCTCCATAGGCATCAGATACCCATCCACCTTTCTCTTGGTGATGCTGCCCACAGCTTCCATTTCATCCTGACCTTGAAACTTGTG